CCTTCACGACGTGTATTAAACTTGAAAAAGAAATGACATTTCCAAAAGCTCACAACTTGAAAAAGGCAGTGACTTTCAATTTTGTACACATCCTTTGTCACCCTTTTACAGCATAAAACCTTAGCCATACCAGTGTGTTTGTTTGTGCCATTGTTGGGTTTTTTTCTGTCAAAACAGTAAATTGAGTGTTTTGTTATATTTTATGATACGTGTGAAATGATCGGCTGTCATTTATAATTCATTAACGTCGGAAATGCACACAAAGGAACAAAGCCATTAAATATCGTCTTTCTTTATTCCTTTCTTTTTTTTTTTACATTGTCAGCAATCGATCATGATTTCATAACTAACTTAGCTGCTTCATGACATCAAAGCCATGAGCCAAAAAAAAAAAAAAGAAAATACGTTGTTCGCGCAACGAACCTAATGAGAAATTGCATTTCACAAAATTTACTTCAACTGGCTGAATCCATGGAGAGTCATGGGGGTATGCCCTTCTCCCTGTTTGTTTGAAATGCAAAGCCAGAAGGTAATTATTTTCATTCTTCCTATAATGAACGTGTAAATCTCAATCCTCAAAAAAAAAAACTCATGTAAGGAAAGGCCTTAACAATTACGTAAGGAATTCCAATTTTTGTAGGCTCCCCGTAAAAGATCCCCCGAAAATATGGTCCAAAATTTGCTCTTCAGTCGGTCACTGTTTAAATAAGAACATTTTTGTAAATTAACTGCAAGAGTTGTTTACAATGCTTCAATTTTGTAAAATGAAAGGTTTAATTTGATATTATAGGTGTGGACTTGCATGGTACGTGTCTAAAGGAGAAAACACTTCAAATGAGTTGATACCAATGTTCCCTCTGTTATCCTTGTTGGGTACAGACCATTATCATGGGGCAAATATCTTGCTTTTTTGCGATTAAGACAATATAACCAAACTGAGACTACAAGAAGAATAGTCTGTTTCCTTTAGTCAATATGTGATGTTGTATTACTATTCTAACGTGTCCATGGGGAAGAAGATAAACACGGCTCGTCTTGGTAAAAGACTAAATAAAAAACTTTTAACACGATGATTTAAGAGAGGTCTGACGTCGTGAACGAAAAAGAAAGATCGAGTGCCCAAACGCACCACTGGGATGCAATTCGTGATAGCCAAAATTAATATTACGCTGTTCAATACATATACATGTTGTGAATTTTTTCAAATGTCATCAAGTATAAGTTCAGGTGTCAGTGATGATTTGGTCAAAGTTATAAAGTTATCATTATCAAGTGACCTTGAAAATCGCTTCTCAGTGAATGCAACGCTGACAATTGCAATCGTGTTTGAACATGGATCAAGAAAGTTAATCAATTCTTATTATTCTTAGCAAGAATTTGTTCCTTTCCTTAAGCTTTCCTTCAGTAACCACGTCCACTTTATAAAGAAGGCACAGTTATGTAGAGATCTCTTTGGATTGATCATCTAGAAAAGCAAAGTTGTTTTCAGTCAAAGATAAATTACTTAAAAGTCGAATTAAATACGTCACAGAAGCAAACATAATAAACTTTCGACTACAATAGATGAGTATTTTAGTAATAGAAAATGTATGCCTTGTTTTTGCAATACTAAGCTTTGTTCAGGGAAATTAATAGTTTGTTGTCTATAATTATGTTCGCGTATCGGTGTTTCCCTCGCCTTTTGTCTCTGCGGCATGGTTTCGATTCCCGTTTGGCGCGTGTATATTTCGGGCAAATTGTACAAGAAAAAGCAAGATAATTAATCCATTTTGTTTTGTGCGTGTACAGTCACGAATGTTTTGCAGGAGCGCATCGTAGACGATACACCATGTCATTTCTGCCCATAACTGTGCAAAATGGAGGTGTTTTGTTAATGTGAAGGGCCCATTTTAGTATAGAAACAACTTACAGTGTCCATTATGCCGTTTTCATGCATAGCAACTGGGGAAATGTTTAATGATTAGTACTATCTGGTTTTTAGAAACTTTTAAGAAATGACAGGTACATCTTGGCAGTATTCTCTCTTGATTTAAAAAAGGGGCATACCTGACTATGTAATAATTACTTTTTGCCGTGACATTTTTGTAATTCCGCATTCCCATATTAAACTTATGGCAAACGAAGGTACGGATTAACTAAAATGACAACATTAAGTTTCAGTC